CACTCCAAACAATTTCCATCTTATGCCCAAGTACTTTTCGGCCGCCTTCATGCGCGTACGCCCAAACCCTAGCCGTCTTCGCGCGCGCCGACCTTCGTGACCTAATCCATGTCGCGCGCGGCTTTGCGCGCGCGCGCCTCATCGCCCATCTCTCCTACGCCTATCGCGCATAGGTGTGCGTCCGTGCTGCCGTCCCACTCGCGCGCCATCGCGCGCTCCTCCTATCCCTCGTTCGCATCCCGCGCGTGCGCCTCCTCGCCCGGCATTCCTATGCCCGTAAGGACACGGTTTCCACCTGCGTCGCTGGTACTCGTGCGCCCAGCGCTCTCCGCGTCCTCGCTGTCCAGGCCCTGCCCGTCCCGGCCACCGTCCGCGCGCCAATCGCCTACGGCGCACCCTACGACGCCCGCTACTCCGCGCGTCGCCCACATCACCTGCGGGCTCCGATCACCTCCTACGCATCCCCGCGCGCCCGCTGCGTTGCACGCAACGCTCACTCCCGCGGACCGCTCATTCGTGCGCTTATCGCGCCCCGCGCCTTCCTCGCCGAATGCCAGCGCGTCCCAATCGACCTCCGACCCCATCCGCATGTCGCTCGACCCTGCGGCTCCACCGTCGATCGTGCACCCCCGTACTATCATCTTGCTCCGTCCAACCGCGCGCATCATGGGCCGATGCGCGCCATTCGCCCATTAGCCGATCGCCGTCGTCCTTCTCGTCGGCGATGGTCACCTTTGGTTCGGGCCATGGGTCCCAACCCTTCAACCTCTCACAATCCTCCGCCGGTATCCACCATCCTTTGTCAACCCATCGCAAACCCCGCCTTTTAGCCTCCTTCTTTTGAGCTCGTCTCTTCCTAGTGCACGGTCCACAACATTGGCTCGCCTTTTGCGCCTTTGTTTTGCGTCGCCTTTTGGCCCGACGCTTCTTGACCTTCAACTTAGCCCATGGACCATACCCTTTTGGCCAATCTCGTACGCATGATGGCCGGTATATTGGACTAGTTGGCTCCTCCAGCATGTTTTTCAGCCATATGTCGAGACCATCGTCACCTTCCTCGTCGGACTCGCCGGGGTTGATGACCACTTCCGTATCATTCCCCTCCTCTTCGAGACTTTCCTTGTCCTCAAGGATTAGAAAATTGAGCGCACCATCATCTTCACCATTCTGAACTTCACCCCCCGTTGCTCCTCGGCCTTCTACGAGTTGTCGCTCGTACTCTTCTCGATTTCTTTGCCATGGATCTCGTCTAGATATGTGCTCTCCCATGGGGTAAGTTCTCTCTCCAAACTCTCCAATAGTTCGAGATCTTCCCAATCCATCTCGTCCATTGGCACATAAGACATGATAATTTCTTTTTATTTTTTTTTTGAAGACTCTATAAAAAAATCGAAAAAATAATTGAAAAATTCGAACAAGAGTTCGAAAATGTCGACCCCAAAAAAAGAAATTCGGCCCCTTCACAAAAAAGGTAATAATCGAAAAAATCAAACAAAAGGACTAGATGACACTTTTTTTTTTTTTGATACTACCGAATTTTCGAAAATTTGGGAACAAAAATTC